TTTTTTTTTAAATTTTTTTTTAAGCAACCATTTTATCACTAAAAATATATAAATATATATATTATCTTTGTGTGTGTCGCAAGTTAATAAACAAAAATAATAATAGATACAAAACGAAATGAAAAGAATGCAAGCAATTTTATATATAAAATAATAATAATAAACACTATTTAAATGCATATATACGAGTTCACAGCGCATACAAAAATATATATACAGTATATATATATATATGTATGCATATGCTATATATGAACATGAAGAAAAAAAAAACGGCGACAATTTTTTTTTCTTAGATCTTTGTAAATACTCAAAAAACAAACAAAAAAGCCATGAAAGAAAAAAAAAACACATAAAATAAACAGCGAACCGTAATCAACAATATTTATTGCTAAATTATTATGTTGTAATGAAATACATATGATACAAAATAAAACACAAAAACAAAAATCAATTATATGGAAATAAATTTAATATGATTGAAAGATAATCAAACTGACAGCAAAACAAAAACCAATATACTCTTCATTCCTCTGGGAACAGAGTATATTGAGCATGGTCGGATATTAAGGTATTGTAGTTGATATTTACTTAAGCACAAACACACACACACACACACATATATACACTTCTACAAACAGACATCCACACACACACAAGGAAACAAAGGAAAAGCTAAAAAGAAAAAATTATTGGACAAAAGACAAGCCAACACCAATACACACAGCAATGTGGCCGTGTGTGTGTCTGTGTGCGTGTGCGTGTGTGTGTGTGCTTGCAGGTAAAATGTATCATTCAACTTTTATGTGTGTACTTTAAAAGAATTCAATATATTAAATACAAAAAAGTAAAAACAAAATAAAACCGAGCAAAGTAAACAAAGAAACACAAAAAGCAAAAGGCAAACACACACAAAAAAAATCAAGACACAAAAATTTAATCGATTTAAGTGGACAAATTGCTAATATATATTACGAAATTCAATGGGTGAGAAATGTGATTTTTATTTCGGGCTCTCTTTCTTTGTTAATTTTCAGGTGATTACAGGTAAAGTATGTGCGACTACAGGGCTCAGGTTGACTTTCCATCTTCATATTATATCGACTATAGAATATTTAAAATTAAATCAAAATATATTTTAAAGTAAGGAAAGTGAATTTCTTTTTACCTAATAGGTAATAGGTAATACCTATAAATAAATAGAGCAGCATTTGACCTTGACTGTGGGATTGATAGAGAGTATTACATTGCTTGTGCTCGCTCTCTCGCTCATTTTCTCTCTCTCTCTCTCTCTCTCTCTCTCTATCTATCTATCTCTCTCTGTGCTCTGGAAAACGTTTTGTTAAAATCAGGCAGTTGCATTTCTGTTGAAAAGTCCACGAATGCTGGGGTCGGAATATATGTAGTATATTTATATAATAGCAGGAGATCATAAGATGGTATTACAGTCGAGTCTCGATACTGCTAAATCGAGAATCGCGATAATCGAACAAAATTCTATACCCTTGAAAAAAAATCGTTCTCGATAATTTATAATTTCTGTGTAAATCGAAAAATCCTCTGCCATTTGGAATTATCGAGACTCATATTCCTTTGCTATATTTCAGCTAACTATTTTTATTATCTTAAATTATTTCATTGATATGCTTATATTAGCTTCTAACAATATAATATAATATAAAGTATTTAAAAATCGTTGAAATGTGATGATGCATCAAAATGAGCTGCTAGATATGAAGACACTTTAAAGCGTGGCTTTACTGCTGGGACAATTAGTTACATAGATGTCAAGTCTAAGCAGGAGTCCAGGAGACAACAAAGATATGTATACCTAGGGAGATTCTGAACCGAATGGCCTGGTCAAGCGACCTGGAACTGCAGCTCAAAGCTCTGCTAGCCCCTGCAAATCAAAATCTGATGAGTCGAAAATGTATTAAGAATCCCATTGGCTTCACCTTAACTTACTGCACTGCTCAAATTTCTTCCTCTAATATATGTATGCTATTATACAAATTATAATTAAT